TTAGGCAATCTCCGGTCTTTCCTTACACTTAGGAAGCACGGAAAGCCGTAAAAATCTTGAACAAAAGCTCATCTTTCAAACCGGCAGCCTAAATCCCACAGGGATCAACGAACGCTTTTCATCCCACTAATTTATTCTTGTTTTTCTCGTTGCCATGTTCCCACCAATAACATAGCTCCATTTTCTGCCTTTAAAAGCACACACAACCCACAATTCCTCTTTTCACTCCGACGAAGGGCTAACGCTCGAAACGTCAGCTTTTATAATCATTACGGTGGCCAATTTACCATTTCAACTTTGTTGATATATCCAAATTATTTTGTTACCCCCACCGACGCAGCACCAAACAGTTTCTTTCAAAACTATCAGCCTTTATTCATTTGGTCTGATTAGATCCATGGCTATATATATAATCATTAAATACTGAGATAATGTGGGGAGGGGGAGGGCACTTAAACAGAGGTATTATCTAATGAGCATTCACTTGCCAGAACTGGCTATGCTGAAACATAAAATGGGGTTTGAGATAACAAATACCCTATTAATAATATAATTATTAAAAGTTAAAATGCAATTACCTCATTAAATCATAGCAGAGAAAAACTTACCAGTAAATTTGGCCTTGCCATATAAATCTTGTATTTGTGGTGCTAATCCTAACTTGAACAGGTACAAACTAGATAAGAAAAAAGTACAGAGAGCAACTCAATCAAAAAGTGTCATTCTTTATAGGGTCAAAAAGGGAAAAGTATGGTGATAATACAATCCCACAAGTCTCTGGCTTTAAATATTTATCATGTTTTAATAAGTTTTATTATTATCATTTTTATTATTACTTTTAATATTATTGTTATTATCATTATTATTATTATTATCATTATGGGATTGTGACATTTGCCCAACACCATTCTATTTTCTCAGGTGGAGTCAGCGCAGGTTTACTAATGGGGTTGCCCAAACTCTACAATAACTATCCTAACAATCATTGTTGATGATAAAGAGTCCTTAGCAAACTAAAATAACTTCCCTTTTTTCTGTAGGTTTGTAAAAAGTGTCTATTTTGAGTTTTTCCATAAACACTAATATCATAATACAAAAGAAAACCAAAACAAATACTTATTGTAAATATATCTGTTAAATTGATAGAAATAAGGTTTTACAAACGAGAAATAGCACATCCCTAATGATTTTTTTTTTCTATAGTCCAAGATTAAATAAATTCTGAATTTATCCTCATGTTGATTTTCCTATCATTTCAAATGAACAAGTGTTCTTATAAAATGGAATTTGTCATTACTTGTTAACACTTACATGATAGAGAGTGTATTTAATCCTGCATTTGCAGGTTAAAGACTTTTAAAATAAGCAGAAGCCAGTTCAACATTATTAGTTAACTTTTAATCACTAACTGATTAACATTAAGATGACTGAAACAAAGTGCATTGCCTATTTTTCCAGCAAACAACTAATGCAAGTTCTAAATAAATGGTTAGCTGTTACATCCAAACAGATTTTTGGTTCCTTAACCTAAGCTGACAGTTTAGGTCATGCTATCTAATGAGTTAGGTCACCACACTTGAGAGATCATGTAAATTGTTTACAACATAATAAGGAATAGACTTTGGTATCTGTAAAATAAAAATAAGGCCAACCAAATAATCTTGAGGCAAATTTCTAAAATTAATGAAAATGACTCATCCATAAAAAATTCCACTTAAAGAATACAAAGTAACACGAATCAACATGTCATGGGCAGACATGCAAATCACACTTTTCCTTCCTAATCAAATTATCATAATTTTTTTATATATCTGGAAAAGGTCTTCTGTACTTACAAAGAAAGACAAAAACAAACAAACAAAAAAAACATAAAAGAAACCTACCAAGTCTCAGCGACTTTCTCACCTCAATGCATGGATACAATATATTAGCTTTGGCATGTTCTTTCTGTCATAAATATCCGTTGTCTCAGGGAAGAAGACCTTGGACCACAAACAGATTCTATTGATAGCAAATTCTTAGAGAACGTTTAATGCGCAGTTGTGCTAACTAGATGAAATAATAGCAAGTTAACAAAACAATAACGGTCAATTCTGGATACAAACAGGCTAAAAACACTGCATAGTTTGTTGAATTTAAGACAATTTTAATCTTTGTAAATAACTGACACGCGCGAAATATTCTAGAACAAACACTTTGTACATCGTAGTGTACATAAATGTCTTCGTGCTAACTGTAAAGAAAACAGCTACAATTTCCTTAGAGGGGAGTTACTAACCTTCGGTAGACCAACTTTACCGCAGCTGTTCATGAAGTAATTAATATTATCTGTGTGACGAAAGTGAAGTCCCCGAGTCTGTAAAGCAATAACTGTTAGTCTAGGGTTAATTAGCTACAAGTTCTTGCAAAGTTAGAACTCCGATTGTGAGGCTAGCCACACAATGCACAAGGTTATGAATAAAAATGAAACACCACCAAATACAAGAGAAAATTATATAAAATTTACAAGAAATAGCACTCACATTCAACACTTTGAATTCTTTATCAAATATTTTGCGCAGGGGTACCGTCTCAGGAGTGAAGAAATTTCCCAGTTTTGCTAAAAACACACCATTCCTGAAAGCCTCCTCCAGTTCAGTTGTAGGCGGCAATTCCTCCTTCAGACAAGCCTCCATCCATCTAAAGATGATAGCAAGAGCTGTGATTAATATCAAAAATTAGCGGTGGAGCCTAAGAGGGAGTTCCTCTTCAAATTATATTTTGATACAGCTCTACCGCTGTTACACTTGGCGAGGGAGTTGTCGGAGTATAAATTTTAATTCAGAAATTCAGTACGTACAATTTCGCCTCTTCCAAGTGACACAGATATTGATAGGCCATCTGTTGCTTGCGCTGTTCGTCCATTTCCGAGCCTGAAGCTCTCTCAGGACTGGTCTCTGCAAAACGATTCAGCACAAAAAGTGAAAATAGAAAAACTCAAGCACCAAGATCATACCGATCGCAAAATTCATTCGGGTTTATCATGTACCATCGCCAGCGTAGGCCCCACTCGAGTCATTCCACCTCCCATCTTCGTATTCCACACCAATTTCTGGTGTTGCCATCCTTCATTGAAGAAAATTTATCAAAATGAAATTACAGAACGAGGAACTCGGGGGAGGCACCTGATGTGCTCTAACATGAGCTATGTGTTGTTTAGAAATGGAGGGAATTTCGAAAACAACTTAACATATTATGGGTTGGAACGTGCTAGAACCCAAGCTCTTTACGAACCAATTTGCAAGGTAAATAAAATTACCATAGCGATGAGTACTTATGCGTGGTGGAATGTCTAGTTTATCTCTAACATGACGTAGAACGAGATTTTAATCCCCTTTAGACGTTTCTTAATATCAAAAGCATGGAGAGACCCCACTCCAAAGATGGATTGTCCCTTCCAGCCATTATCAGTAACAGCAACACAGACGACAGGTCAAGTCGTATGGAAAATTTAGAGGATCGTTTGGCTGTTCAGGAAAAGACCACAAGATCACTCGTAGACAGAGCGCTTTCGGTCAAAGAAGATATTATTGAAAGCTTGAGCATTGCTCAGATGAGCTGGCAAGGCGAGAAGAGAGCCAGGAGCTTGCTGCAAGAGCATATACGAACAATAACTACTGTTGTGAAAAGACTGAGTAGGGAAATTGAAAATTTGGAAGACGAAATCAGGTCGAAGCAAAGTCTAGTGGAAGGACAAAGTACGGCTGTGAAAAACTTAGAGCTTCATCACGTCGCCGGTGTCACGGATTTGAGAGGACGTGTTGCTCGATGCGATGCGGCAATTCAGAGGCTCCTATCGGATACGAGAAGTAACAACGAGGTTATAAGCGACTTCAAACTAAAGCAGGAACAGGCAGTCAAAGATTGTCGAGAACAAATAAGCTCTTTAGAGAGGGGGATTAACAACTTGACGCTAAAAATTGAAAAGTATATTATGGACCAGTCAAACAGTCTCGAAAAGTTGAAAGGAGAGTCCGATCAACGCGTTGTACAACTTGATTCTAAGACCAAAACAGTTGTTGAGGATATCCGGGGTAACATTTCTTCAAATCGCTTGTGGGCCGAATCGGAATATTTTAAACTGACTCAGGATTTTCAAACCAGGCTGGAAAGGTTTGAGGGTCTTATGGTTGAACGTCAGGAAAAACTAGAAAGAAGGGTGGACCATTACTTGGCAAAAGTAGATCGACTTCTTGAAGATGAAAAGAGTAAATATTACAATATCTGGGAGGTGAGACTCAAAGAAGTGAGGTCAGAACAGGAAAGGAACCTCCAGCTGTCCTTAAATCAAGTGAGAGATGAATATAGAAAGGGATTTAACAATGTCCATGAAAGTATTTCCAGCCTTCAAAAAGTGTTTCATGCAAAACTGAAATTGCTGGAAGATGATTTGCGCAAGGCAATTAACAATGTCGTGAGAATGGTAGTCCTTGTTTGACTAGTGTTCACTCTGCAAAAGTGAAGTGGAGGATCTCCTTTGCATAGAAGTAACCCTTTGATAGGAGTAATTTATAATTATGGTCTGTAGAAGGGCATCAAATCTAAACCCTGAAAATCATACCAATCCAATCTCACATCCCAAATAGGACAAGTAAGCGTGTGTCCTCCCCATGCATGATCTCCTCTGAGAAACATATTATCGGTTGTGTTGTAGATTTCAAGATGAACAAGATACTATCATATCAGTTGGAAAGAGAAGTATTTTGTAACTTTGACCATCTGTGAATATTTTTGTCAGAAGTACAACTACCCTATTATTAGATTGTGCTCATTAAGTGCGTAAGGTTTATTTTTGAACAACATCCATAGACTGTCAATATACAAAAAAAATCCACAAAGTAGGATAATTCTTTTCAGGCATACATTGTCACATTTTGTCTAATATAAGGCTCAAAAGGTTAAAAACATTGTTTTAAAAAAATCACGAGATACTGCAAGCGTGCTGAATGGTCAAAAACCATTTGTTTATTGCAAACAATAGACAGCACTTTCTATCAGTTTAGCTGCTTAATAACCAACTGGGATGTTGAGAGAACACTCCAAAAGTTTGTGACTCTCAAGCAAGAAGTGAGTAATTTGCAAACTTTTCAAGGTTTCCCCCAACATCCCACAAGGGTTATTAGGCTGGTAAACTGATAGAAAGAGTGGTCTATGGCTTAAATATTCAACAGCTAGTGATAGAAGCGGATTCCCTTGCGTTGTAATTTCTACTAGCATTTTATGGGTAAGATGGGATGCAATTGGTACTACTACTTGGTCAAAGCCCATTTTCTGTTGTTGTGATGAACCCATCAGTGTACTGTAAAAGAAACATAGATGATCAAGATGATGCAAGTTTAGCAGTGGACATTCCTTGAGGTGGCTCTTCTTGTCCACTGTTTTCAGATCAAATTGGAATTTAGCATCCTTTTAACTCTTACATGATGTTGGCATAACTAAACAAAAGTTATTGACTCATTCCCCAATGATTTTCTTGGGTTCTACCAACATTATGCACTAGTTAGTGTTACAACAGTAAATTAATAAACGTGTAGTTTTTTGCTCTAGGGAAACTTCTTTAAAATGCAAGAACAAAATCTGGATTCTTCATGACAAAAATGAAACCATATCTCCCTGCAAACTTGGCATTATTCTGATCTCAATGCAGTATGCTACAGAAAATTCAAGGTGTATTTGATATTCCAGGTGGGACTGAGTATATTCCTAGGAAACCCACATCAGTGATTAATAATTGAAAAATGGAAAAGATGGACACTCATGAACAAATACCAAATAGTACAAGCTTATTATCACTGCTCCCCTTAGGCTGACACCTTGTCATGGTGGTGGAGCTTGTGTCTCAAGGACCCAGAGAACTGTGCCGGTGGGGACTTTGGTCCTGGCAGGTCTAACCATGCCGCATTGGTCGAAGGGTAGAGTCCAGGCTCCGGTTGTTCAAAGGGCGGATAACGCTATCCAACGGATAAATCGCTATCCAGCGGATAAGTGTTACCAAAATGTACTGCGCTATCCACCGGATAGAGATTTATCCAGTGTATAGCGTTATCCATCCTTCAAACAACCAGGGCCAGATGAAGAACATGGAGCTGCCCAACCCCCAACCTCCAGGTTGGGGGTTGGGCAGCAGGCCGATAACCTGCTCCCAGAAAAAGAAGCATATCACAGAAACCAAAACTAGAATTACCACTGCACCCTATTGGGAAGTAGGTACAAGATGCTAACAACCAGTTAGAGTACCACACAAAGCAAAGGACGACGCATAAACCACCGATGAAATTGCTATCGCCACAAGCGTGTGTGAAGATTGGGCAATGGAATGTAAGGGCAATGTTAGAGGCTGGTATGTGTGCTCAGGTATGATAATTGCAGAGTTGGAGAGGAAACACCTCACGTGGAATAAGGCAAAGGGCACTGCACAAAATAGGGTTAGGTGGCATGCTCTAGTTGAGGACCTATGTTCTACTAGGAATGAAGAAGAATAAAGAAGAAGAAAAAATATATCACTGAAATCTGCCAATGATAACCACATTCTCTGTCATGGTTTATTGTGGAATACTTTTCTTTTCATTTCACTTTAACTCAACATTTTTATGTACATCAAACTCTTCTCTAAATTCCTTGCAAGACTTTAAACTTTAGATTTGACCCCCCCCCCCTCGCCTCAAAATTGGATGAATCCAGGTCAAGTCTCTGGAAGACCAAACCTTTTAATGTTTAGTGAGAGAAAGAAAGGTACAAGAAATCTTCCAAAATCAGAGTTGATTATTTCTCCAATAATCAATACATTCACTTACTAATGACTCCCTTCACATTGTTACCATTATTTAATAAGTTGTGGTTGAATGAAATTCTTTTCTACTCTAGAGGGAATTTCTGGCTAATTACTCATTTTACTGGCAACATAACTGTTGTGAGTTATGCTGGCTTTGATGAACAAGACTTGTGTGGCAATTATTTACTGAACTTACAATAATTTTGAATGGTAAAAAGATAAAACCATGGAAACACTGCCAGTTTTGGTTATTTACCTGCAAGGAATGAGATGTAAACCATACCACATTAGAAACAAAAGAGGGCCTAGAATCAACTAGAATGTGTTTTTAAAGATGATGTCTATGAATTTTGGCTAGCCATGTTCAATGAAAATTTGTGGTAACAGTATTCTAGTAGGTTTGTTGGAAAGGTGACTGAATTTAATATCATTTCAAAACTGAGAGAATCAGTCATCCAATTAATTATTCAATTAATCTATCAATACTGCCCGTGGTTATGAAAGAGCAGATGATACCCACTACGAATGACTAGCAGTAATATTTTGTTTATTTTCAAACTGAGTTTTCCATCATTGTTCTCATCTGCTAACTAAAATATCTCATTATCATTACAGTAAATCTCTCAGTTAAAGAAATAATGCAATCAAGTGTAACCTTGACAACATTCTAAGACTCTTGTATCTATGAGGAAAAAACATGACCTATGATAACAAGGAGAAAAGTTACTGTGCATTCTTTCACAACAAAATTTTTTTTTAGACAATTACACGACTATTCAATTCTGATATCATTGCAAAGCTTGTTTTATTTCTTTAACAAGCATAGAGCTAATTGCCATCTTTTCACAATTCACTGTTATGGAGCTGCTTTTTCCATCAACGGGCACTTTAACTGTCACAAGAACGTGTGTTCCTCCAGATATGGTGCGAGCTGCAAATCTGTATGTTGATGCCCCCTCAGAAAGGGATGTGGCTCCAATGTAGGTAATAGCAGCAGCCTCCTTTACTTTTGAACATACCATTTCTTCAGAATTAAGGTTAGCAGGAATATCTACTGTTCCAGAACTCTCATTTAAGCCTCGAAGTTTACCTACAGAGGAATTTGTCAAGGTAAAATCCTGCTGTTATTGTCATTAATAGTGATGTAAATGTTGTGATTTAATTAACACTAGCTTTGGGTCAAATGTTACTTTGTTTCAAGCTTGTTGTCATTTCTTACCACATTAAAGAACAAAGGAAAACATAACTTAAACATAATTTAAACCAAGAATTAAGTTGAATCACATCATATATACACTAAAACAAACTGTTTTTAGAGTTATACCATTATGATCAATAGACTGAACCAATGTGTTGTTCTGTCTTTCTTCAAAAAACACAAAGTACTGGGGGGAGTGGGTGAAAGCAACCAGTTTGAACAAACTAAGAAGATTGTGGCAAGGGTAATTTATAGCCACCTTGTTTGGTCAAGAAGTCAGCTTCAGTCATGGGGCAGGCTTGTAACAGTTCACCAACAGGTGCCTTGATGCTAACTGGGAACCTACTGGATTGTGTGCTGAAAGACAACCACATAAATATTGTCCTTTTTAGGATAGATCTCCCACTTGTTCTCAAGTAAAATACTGGTACATTTAGATTAATTGTCTTTGTCAGTTACACAATGACTCAATAAATACATTTCCAAACATGCACATGTATCTGGGATAAGGTAACAGCTTATACAAACTGTTCAAAACTCATTTTGGATCCAATACCTGCTCCACTTCCAATAATACCATTATTAAAGTAAAGTTTTACAGAATTATTGATGAACCAAATTGAATGCAACTGCATTAGAACAGTGGGACACTGACAAAACACATTTTAGTTGAATAATGACAACCTACAGAGGTCAGTTCAAATTACAGCCCAAATGTTAAGTTATGTCTGCAAATCTGAGAGTTCTGCATGAATGAAAATGATACTACAAGTTTTATTAAAATGCCTAGTACCACGCACAAAGTTTGATGCAAATTTCATTTAAAACTTTAAAATAAATCAGTAAGGAAAACTAACACACCACAAACTAAAACTAGCAGGCTGAGTTGTGTCATTGAAATCAATTCCTACAGTCACTGCAATTGTTGCACCAGGTGCAAGTGATGCTAGATGAGAAATAAAATAAAAAAAAAAAAGATAAGTTCATGGAACAAGTAAAGAATGATCATCATGCTCACAGTGATGACCAGTTGGAAAACCACTCCACTAAATGTCAAACATAAGATCTGTAGATGAAGTCAAACAACCAGAGGTACATACAAACAATCTAACCTGATTATTTTGTTTACCAAGGTATATTTTTTTCATCAATACAACTAACATTAGCTTGATTGTTAGTTCAATTTGACAGATGTGAACTATATTTTGCACATGGGGAGGGAGGAGAATCCATGGTGAATTCTCTAACACTAAGTATATGTAATGCAGTAAGCCTGGGCCTGTAACTTACCAATTGGTTGAAAGTCATGCATTTTCATTCCTGCTCCTAGTTTCTACACCACAAAAAGAGAAACAAACTTAGTTTAAGTAAAAAATTCAAACAAAGTTATCAATTGGTTCCATATTATTAACATAATTAAACCACTACAAGCACAGATTTTGTTCACGTTTTGATATCTCTGTTCAATCTAAAGGTTTCAAAAGACATATGACCTTCTAAAAACCTAAAACAAGTAAAAGGATAAATGATAATAAAAATAACTTGCCCTTTCTTCCACAAAAATATTACAAATGGGAGCTTCAGAGTTGTTGACCAGTGTTACTTCCACAGCTACCATGGATGTGGAATAAATGCAAGGACCTCTTGTAAACTTGTAACTGCCACTGAGTCCTTTGCCCTGCATTCGATGGAGAAGCTCATGTGATTTGGCAGATGAAAAGCTTTGACTAAGCTGTTCAAAGAAAAAAAATACATTTTATGACCCTAAGAAATTTCAAGAACCACACTGCTTTGTTCATGTTAAGTGTGCAAATAAAAAATCTAAAAGGGGGAAATAGAAATTTTAAGGCTTCGATCTGAAATATCTTCTCAATGAGAATTGAGTCCTGCTTCCTGCATGTCAGAGTTAATACTAAGTATTACAAAATTTCTAAAAAAGTTACATCTGAAAAGTTTTTGCTCATCATGTGAATGTGAAAAGATAGGGCCCAGGTTGTTCCAAGGGTGGATAATACTATCAACTGAATAAATCTCTCTCTGGTGGATATGGTAGAGTGTTTCGTTAACACTTATCCACTGAACAGTGATTTATCCATTGGATAAAGTTACATGCCCTTTGAACAACTGGGCTGTGACCTTTAGTACAACATCTTCACTCACTGGGGCGATGACAGTAGGTACATCATTTGTAAATGATAAAGATTCAATCTCAGAGGCCAGACTTGGTGACATTATGTTACTGGAACTCGAGCCTACAGTGGGAGTCACTGGTTCATTTACTGCAACAAAAATCATATCATCTTTTATTTGAAGAAGATAGCACTAGGATGTGCCCACAAAACAAAGAAATAGATAATTATCCACTGATCAGATATTAAATGATTTATATCACCCGTGTCTTGTTAAGTTACTGAGAATGTGGGTTGTACTTACAGTCATCAAGAATCAACAATGCATTTCCTTTGTCTGAAGCTGGTTTTCCTTCAGGTGATTTTTGTTGCTTGGTAGTCTTAACTGGTGTCCTAGGTTTCTTGACTGGAATCTGAAATAGAATGGGATGCAAAATTCATCTAAGACTAAAACAGCTTGCTTAAAAATTTTCAGTCTTTCAACATATGCAAGTACATGAGCCTCGCACATAGCTAAACTTTATTCTCGCATTCCTCACAAGAAACAGCATTGACTATTTTCACTCCCACAAACCTCTACCCACATTAAATGTTTTTCCACCATAAGGTCTACTTCCCCATTTCCTGAGTCATTGATAGGAAATGCTTCCCCCATAAAAAAAAAACAACAACAACAACAAATTAAAACACCTTGACCTCAGTCAGACTAGAGCTAGACAGCTTGACCAAATTTTTGACTGCTTTAACCATTACAACTATTTTTGCTAACAACCAGCAGATGAAACAATCTAATGAGGGTAACCTTCTCATCCTCAGATGAAATATCTGAACTGTCTTCACTGCTTTCATCTGTCTCTGACTCTGAGGATGACTTCTCCTCACTTTCACTTGCATCACTGTCTTCTTCACTATCACCTGAAAAGGAAGAGGCATTCAAAAATTGAATATTTTCTGAAAAATTTATAATCCTAGAGTTTTTTTAAGTCCATGTTACAAGTCACAGATGCCTGTTTTCTCATATCTGTGCATAGATAAGGATACTACCAATAGGCCTGAATAAGTTTCTCTGTGGATCAAACTAAGAATGTGCCATCAGACCTGAATCTCTGTGAAGAACTGTCACTTATGCACATGATCCTATTCTGCAGATATTGTAGCCAGTACCTTTTGTAGATGCCTCAGATTCAGTCTTGCTCTGATCCCCACCATCATCCTCCTCCCCTGATCCACTGCTACTTCCACTTTCTTCCTCGCTATCACTCTCTGATTTTGAGATTAAAAAAATAAACTTCAATAAATATGTGACTTTGAAAAAGAACCAATTCTTTCTCCTATGCTACACATGTACCCAAAAAAATCTCTTTCATTGAAGAGTTGAAAAGCAGCTGTACAATAGAATTTGGATAATAGGTGGTATCCACCAGTATTCTAGTTGGGAGCTATTGAAACACTGACACCTTTATATTTAAGTTAACAAAAAACATATCACGACTCCTTCCATACCTGATTCCGAGCCTGATTCTGACTCTGAATCAGAGTAAAATGAAGATTTCTTTGCTTTGCCAGTTTTCTTCTTGGAACTTATTCCCCATACTGCCTCAATCTTAAAAGCAAAAACAGCCACAAAATATTTCATATTCAGTTAGGTAGCCCTTGACAAAACAGGTAGGAGACATAAAGGTATGTAGGGGTAAGTGTTGATGTCACATCAAGTTAACTGCATTCAGTACTCACTTCTACGTTTCTCACAGAAGGATCTGGAGCAATCTCTGGGAAATGGGGTAATTCCTGATAACCATTAGCTTTGAGGTTCATCATATGAGACAAAGAACCAACTTGGAACCCTTGGCGATCTAAAAAGAATACAAGTTAAAAAGTAATGCAAACACACTATTGAACTTGAATAAAGGATAACTTCAAAGACTTGCTGCATTTTTGCTTTGTTCTACAGTGTAAAGTTGAGACATATTTTGCATGTTCCATCACCCTAATAATTTAATTTAATAATAAGTTCTTATATAGCACATTAAAATTGAACTCTATGCGCTTTACAATTACAATTAACAAAATTTCAATAAAAATCCTATACATGCAATTTTCGCTACTCTATCTAAACTAATGAATTATTACGTGTTATACATATATTTGACAACGTACGATATCAAAAAAAATCTGGTGGCTTAATTTTTGAAAAGATAAGTTTTCAATAAGCATTTAAAGGAGTCAACAGATTCGGCGTTTTTTTATGCATTCAGGTAGTTGATTCCACAAATATGGTGCAGCGTAGGAGAATGCTCTTTGCCCATACGTTTTAGTTCGAATTGTTGGGACCTCAAGTAGATTCATGTTTGATGAACGGAGGTTTCGTGCTGGAATATATCGACTAAGAAGTTCAACAAGATAGGTTGGAGCCATGTCATTTAGTGCTTTGTATGTTATCAACAGTATCTTGAATTGAATTCGTTTTGTGACCGGGAGCCAATGAAGTTTCATAAGTATAGGTGTTATACTGTCTCTTGATTTAGCACCGACTAACAAGCGGGCAGCTGTGTTTTGGATCCGTTGGAATTTTTCGATGTCACAAATCGGTAGACCGTACAATAGGCTATTACAGTAATCAAGTCTCGATGAGATGAAGGCGTGTATCAATCTTTCATTTTGCTGCGTCGAGAGGTATTTACGAACGCGACCAATATTTCTGATTGCTAGAGACGACGATTTACAGATGGAATTTATATGCGAGCGTAAGTTCATCACAGAATCAAGCATGACGCCTAGGTCTCGGACAGTATTAGATAAATTAATGATATCATCTCNATCTGTATGTATATTCTCCATGCTCTTCCCTATACATGACCTAAGAGAGCCATTAACCCTGTACACCCTACTATCTGTATGTATATTCTCCATGCTCTTCCCTATACATGACCTAAGAGAGCCATTAACCCTGTACACCCTACTATCTGTATGTATATTCTCCATGCTGTTCCCTATACATGACCTAAGGTGCTGATAAGGAGAACTTGTTTAATTAACAATCAAGGCGATCATTCTCTTTATTCTAACTTGTAACCTTAATGTGTGATTTGGGGGTGATAATTGGTACAGCAAATTCAGATACTAGTCACTTTTTTACCTTTCTTGTGAAAGACATTGTTGCAATATTACTGAGGACAACACTTTGGACCTCCCTGGAAGAAAAAAAAACAAGACTGTAAAGTAAAAAATCTGAACTTAATGTTGAAAAAAATTAGTTCAAATTTAGTTGCATAGTTGCATACTAGAAACACTATTCTAAGTCCCTCTTGAGGTTTGACTCTTTGATAGTTTCAAGTAAAATTTACTTATATATGTGACAAAATTGATTATCACTAACTTCTAACTTCCAAACCAGAAATTTGGCATTCCCATTTAACAAAAGTGGCATTTTTCCTGAATAGAAGTCCAATTGTGTCTATAACTCTTTGCATGTCCCTTGTGATATGTTCAGTATTGCAATAAAGGTATATCTAAAAGTGAGGGTGTCTCACTAAGTTGGTCAATAGTTTTAAACAAACCTGTGACTTCTAAGGAGTCTGACTAGGGAACGTGCTACAATTCCAACTTCATTTGTGGGTGCTAAATGATGGTACACTCTTGCTACTGCCATCACAACCTATTAATGAAAAACAGAAGATCATACAAGTATCCACTATCATATACTGACAAGTTCTGCTACAAGGAAGAATCTATTTATTGTCTTAACTTATTATTACAAACTGTAGATTCCCTAGTTTACACAGAAACTTACTGCAGCATTCCTGCTCTGAAGAAGTGGTTTACATGTCCTCAAAAGGAGACGATGATCAGGATCCATCATGTATGGCTGCTTCTTTGGTTCCTTTCTAGATTCATCATCATCATCATCGTCGTCATCATCAGAATTTTCAGATTGAGGATAAAAGGCTTCCTCTGATAAAAGCTAAAACAAAGTTGATTTATCAATACCTTACCTGTACTTAAATTTATCAAACCTATAATCATAGTTACTGCAGTCCAAATAGACAACCTCACCTCTTTGTTTGGGTCAATAAATTGTGTTCGAGCATATCTTGTGAGCATATGGATGACAGCAACTTGACCCCACTCATCAATGTCTATCAACAAGTTACACAATTTGCGGTAGTTTTTGTGAATCAGATCTATTCTATCTGGGCAAACATCTTCAAAAGCCATAACAGCACTTCCTGCAACAAGCTAAAAACAATGCAGTAACATTACTACAACCAGAATTGAAATGCAATCTGTCATACATATACAAATGTAAGACACCAGGCAAACATCTTCAACAGCCATTACAGCACTTCCTGCAACAAGCTAAAAACATTGCAGTAACATTAGTATAACCAGAATTGAAATGCTATCCAGGCCATTTGGAAAATAAAACATGGCACACTGAGTATTTGTTCAATCCTTACCGTTGTCTTGTCTTTCAACAGTTTCTCTATAACCTCAATAAGACAGTCTTTTTGCTCAGGATCCAAACTGAAAAGGTATAATTTCTTCTGGTTAATTTTCTTGTTTCTATTCATGATTTAACCAAATTGTAAGAGGGCAAGAAATGCAATTCCAATTCATGCTTAACAAAATACCTCTAACCTAATGAATTAAAATGATACTAATTATAAATAAATCATATACAAGTACTTTAAAAGCCCACAGATAAGCCGCATTTTTTCCAAAAATCGTTGCTAGAAACTGGGGATGCAGCTTATCTGAGGGAACATTTGAAAAAGGTGTTGTGAATGTCCATTTTCGCTTCTGATCTAATGCCTGGTTACTAAGCTTCAAATGTTTTGCGCACGTTCTTGTTGTAATGCAAAAATCTATGGAAAAACTGTGTTGAATAAAGAAATTCTTGTCAACAAATACCAGAAAAAGACCAATCATATGCCAAAGTTGGTAGAAACAATGTTCATTACATTAAAGTGTTAAGACTGTGGGTAACACTTTGAAGTATTTTCTATTAACATGTTAATAATGAGTTTGCATTCGATAAACAGTGGATGAAGAAGACTTCTTAAGACTTGACTTTGGATTTCTTTTCATTTCTATCAAAAAACTTTTTTTCCAAAATTTGAGCTGCTAAATTCAGGGTGTGGCTTATCTGTGGGCTTTTATGGTAATAAAAATCCTTGCAGGTGACCTTCAAATAGAGAAATTGGAAAGAAACTTCCAAGGGAGTTTTTCCAATATCTCCCAGTAACAGCTAAATGTTGAGAGCTAGGCAAAATTCTGGTGGTTTCTTTGACCCATAGACTGAGAAAACTTCCCAAAGAAGAAGCCTGAATTTTTTCAGGCTTAATTTTTCTTCTGTAGTTCAAAATATCACTTATTTCATTAAAATGAGAACAAAGAAACCACTAAGAATTTCCTCAGCCCCAATGTAACTTTGTAGCTCAGACAGAGCTTGCACCAAACTCCATGGTATGCTGGACTATGGAGAAGATACTCATTAAAAATGGACCATTTTTGGGAAGGGGGAGAGTTGACGCTGGGTAGCTTTTTTTTTGCCAGAATCTGTGGCTATATTTTTTTCCTAATGACTTGCCCATCTAGGAGACTGCCATATCATCTGGGAGTGTTAGAATGTCACTGAGTTACTACACAACATAAAGAATGGCATACCTGTGAAGTTTGGGAATGGCATGAGCAGCAGTTTTGCGAACATAAGGTGACATATCTGCAACTCCCTAAAGAGAGTAATAGTAAAATATTTACTAGTCTCCTAATATTCCTGATAGGTATATTTTTGTTAATCTTAATGCAAGCATTACCCATTTCTATCTCACACTGCAAAGACCAGGGGTGGGGGTTTGCCAGACCCCATTAGCAATGTCATGATTATTGTGAATGTCCACATTGGATTCCTGTTCAGGTTGATATCCAACTTTAATTAAGAACTGACCTTCCAATTGATTTTAATTGTTAACTCATACGTGCCAGTTGAATTATTTGCATACATGAAAGTTCAATTTCTCATTATGTTTGAGTTTGAAGTTTGAAGTTTATTAATTCATAAACACATGGCAGTTTGAAAACTGAATTGTGTATTCACATTACAAAAATTAAATTGTTGATCAAAGTCAATAACTAATCTATCTTAATTAAAAGAATAAAAAAGTAAACAAGAGGTGAGACGCTAAAAAGGTTTTCAAAATACGAAATTCAAAAACTCTAACCTATAAGTTACTCGCTTTAAGGAAAGAAAAGATAATAATTAAAAGCTATTCTTAAACTGTCGGTTTTAAAATATGGCATGTTAAAAGGTCATGCATGCCTTAATGAATAAGTAGATTCGTGTGGTGCAGGTAATAACTTATAAAGGCGGTGATTGTTGTCATTTACAATTGTGTGAAAAAGTGACTCACATATTTTGTCATGGTAGAAAGCTAGTTCCTTAAAGTTCATAATAACAAGATCCTCATAATAGCTAACACCAGGGCAGATAATGGATATTGCTCTCTTCTCTCAGATCAGCCTTTCCAAGTATAGCTTATTAAACATAAAATGTAACAAACAGTCTTCCACCAGTAGCTCAAGACAGTTATTACAATCTTTGCATTTACTTACTTCTTTTATTGCTAGCATCATGATTGGTGCAATAACAGGAACTCTGATACTTGACAAAACCCTCAAAGCACTTCCACGGATAAGTTGGTTTGGATCCTGTGCATTGAGAGGCAAAGACAACAAAATTATTGCTGAGTAAAAAAAAAGGCCAAAATGACAGACTATCAGACTATTTTAAAGCAGTATTCTGGATGATTATTTTCATACTTCTAGGACAAAACTGATTGTTGATTGGTACTGTAGCGGTTTACAATGTAAGTTTATAGCTAAGAACAGTCTGGACAAGCAAGCTTTCTAGGTATTTTCACATTTAACAATTATTCGCTGAAGGCAAGGTGAATATCGTCAAATAATCCCCAAGACAAAGTCGAGGGAATTATTCAATGTTCAATATTCACCAAACCTGAGGTGAATAACTGTTTTATAATAATTTCAGAGCTGAACAACAGAGAAATTTCTAAAATCATAACATTTTAGTAACATTTATTAACATTTTAGTTTTTTAACATTTTATATAAACCACATGGAGCGGTTTATATAGCATCATATAAGGAACCGCTCGACCAATCAGATTACTGGAAACTCTTTGCTCAGCTCTGAAATTATACTAATCATGTATATTCCTCATATTATCAACAGTTGCTTATCCGCATAAATTTGATCAACCTTCAGTCCTTTCTGAAATGTGCTTATAGAGAGGAGAGCTAAGTCTTGTTGCTCTTCAGCATATCTGACAAGGTACAAGTAAACCAGTTTTTTAACCTGCCAAAATAAGAAAAAAAGTTGGGTTAGAAAGCATATGTTAAAATCCTTGTTACTGTTTAAATCCAAAGGAGAAGTTAGGAGACAAAATAGTAATGCAGACATTTAACAATGTCCCTTAAATACCAAAAAACGAATCACTTACTTCAACGTTTTTAGAGACAACATTTTTTACTACTGCAGCAAAAAGGTCTGACATGTCTCTCCCATCAGCCATCATCTACAATCAAAAGAGTTTGTCACTGACTCATAAGTTACTAAGAAACCCCTCTAAGAACCCATGGGTAAAGTAACTTGTTACAAATTCCCTAACATGAGGTGTCTGAAAGAACTGTTCTCATCCCAGATAGGATGCTAGTACATCTTGGATGATTTTCATCTTCAAAGTACTGAATGTGAAATAACTGTCACACTATAAATGAGGAGAAATGAAATTTTAAGCATGAGTTCTATCTCATAGAAAGTTACTGTGTATATCGGGAGGCTAACACTGGACCTTATGGTTGATAATCAACCAACTTTTTTTATTTATTTAACAATCACAAGAAATATACCTTTTACTTATCAATTAGTTTCTTTATAACTAGTCACAGATCATCTCAAATGACTCAAGCACATTTACTAGCTTTCATTGATTCTTCAATAACAACCTAAGGACAAGGTACTGACACTGCAATAATTATTTCTATCAATTTATCAAGGCACTAACCCAAGTGGGATGTTCCGAAAATACAAGACAGATTGGTAAATTTGTTCACCTTCCCATCGTGATTTAAAAATTTATTGTATATTCTACCACTATCCAGAGTGGGTTATGGGAAGGGGTCAACAAAGATCCCAACAACTGGGTCTAAGAGCTTCTCCACCTACAAATAAAAGTCTGTTTCATTACCCCTCGATAATCATATTCTTCCTCATATTCACATTGAATACTTTAAGAACAATGTTGTATTCAGAGGTGTTAACTTTAATTTTATGGATCACTACTAACAGTTCTCTTTTCTCTTTCTTCGCTATATTTATTTAAACCATGGAAGTTAGCTGTGAGTGATGTTTGATATCATCTATTAACTTCCATTGAGGCTTTGGCTGTTATGGACCAGTAAACCCAAAAAGTTTAGGTGTTTTGTGGCAATAGGTGGTTTCCACGTTAGGTCATCACCGCCATGTTGGTGGACGTAAACAATAGATATCTCATTAGCTTCTTTTGTTCGTCCTCCAGCATTTGTTCCTTTCACCATCATTACCTGTGTCTCTAAAGATTGGTTGCAAACTACCTATAAATCATTCTTTGAGAAATCTGTTTCAACTAAAATCCTCAACAAAGGCCACTTCAAGGACAGAAAGTAAGGGCTCTACAAAGTGATAGGGCAGTAAATTGATACTGTTATATAAAGAGTATAATACCACAAAAATTCTTCCTGTAGCATAACATGTATAAGCACAGAACATGATCATGATCAATAAAAAAGAGGATGTTAAAGCATGACAGCTTTCATGAACAAAACTACAGAACATCTTCATTTTCTTTTTTTCAATGTTGAGTGATATGCATTCAGTGTAATATGAATTTTCATCTTCTATTAAAGAGAAAAAATCAGAGTTTATTAGCATGTCGACTACTTCACTACTGTTTAAATGAATTGTCTGTATATTTTTGGATTCAGGTGTCTACAAATCCATGAAGAAATGAGCTAAGGTTAGGTATATCAAAGTCCTGCTTTTGACACACTCTAGTTACCATCACAAAACCATGAGACAAATAATCAACGTTAAGTTACAATGAGAACCAGAAGACCGAAAGGATGGAAATCGTAGTAACATTTTTTATGCTCCCAGATTTAAACATACTGTTGTTCGAATTCCGCTATCATGCCTGTTAAACCTTGATAAAAATCATTACTTACCCCAATAATCCGCTTCATCGCGTCCAATTTAAGGCTATCCTTTGTACTGTCTAACATACTTTTCAAATCATCATGTCTGTAATAAAAGTTGAGATTTTGATCACCTCTGGAAATCGAAAGCTCGTGAAAGTAGGAGACATCGATCAGGTCAGTGCAAATCATACAGAAACGACGAAACTTACCTTTGAAAATCACTAGAAAAAAATCCCCCAGCTCTTGCATCAGGAGCATCTGGGTCTCCTTCCGGTTTTTCAGCGTTGTAAGACATATTCAAAGTACTAGAAACAATGAATGAAATCTTCGACCAAGCTAATCAAACATGGCTGCCGTCGTGGAAATTTTCCTTGTGACTCAGTCCCAGTCTTTTGTATGAAGCTGACAGAGGAGAAAAACCGCGAGGGACGGTGGTCTACCATTACTAAAGCCCGCGCCATTTTCAAGAACAATTGTGAAGTGGAAGTAAATTATGGAGGAGTTTCAAACGACTGACAGCAGAGAAAAACACAACCAGGTAAGATTTTCTTGGGTGTTCCTAGGAGAGAAAATCGGGAGTGAGTTACCGGAAGGATGTGCATGTGAGATTGGTCTATGTTGTAGTCATATCGTTCCACTTTTCAAAGGATACATAATAGATTGACACTTCCTACTTTTCCAGGTTTTTACATGGCTGCAGCAAGTCTTTGGCCAAGATCATATTCCCCAGTTTGAGATAAACAGCTTCACTTTGAATATACTGGAACAACTTGCGAAAAGAAATCTGGAACAGAATAAGTATGCTGAACTTGTCACAAAGGACTATAATCAGAAGGCGGTGGAATATTCTGCTGAAGGTGCTACACGCTCAACCTTTGTGGGAAATATTTTTTTGCATACATGTTATGATAATGTGTGTCTACTCTGTTTGGCTTAACTCTGTGTTTTATTTGTAACTGTTAAGGTAGATCTGTATGTCAAGGTATTTCTAGATATAAAAGCTTAGACAGTTTGAGTCTACTCGGGGTCTACCAGTACGTATTTTATGGTTATTGATTAAAATAGATAACTTTCGAAAGTTCAACAACTTTCAAATCAGTGCCTATACCCACCTAGCATGAAATTTGCTTGCATTATATGATTTTCTATGCTTTAACTTACCTTGTTCATGTGAAAATAATTAATTCAGGACTACTGAAACACACAAGCTAAGGATGCATGATTTGTTTGGTCTACAATCAGTTGAAAGACTCACCAGGATAACAGAACAAGTGGGTCTACCAGTATCCTGTATGTCACAGTCAGGACGCATGAGCTTAAAAACCCTAGCATCTATGGCCATGTTGCTTGGAACTAAAGACTGCTCCAATTCAAGGTAAGCAGCTTCAGTGAATTATTGAATGCAAAACAGTTAAGACAGTTGTTTTCCTCAACAAAAATTTGAAGAAATAGTATCCTTATTGTTATTTTGGTGTTGAGACAAATCCATTGCAGTTTCTGAAGTTGACTGATTTGAAGAGAAGTGAGGGGATGGTGAGTGTCCCGGTTTCTCATCCTAGTTGTCCCTAAAAGAAAGCCTATATTGCCTTGGGAAGGTATCAGGCCTTGGCCAACACAAGCTGGTTAGTGCCAGAGTCCAAGCAACCCTCTTCTTAACTGTCTCAAATAGTTATACCTGTGGGCAGACCAATGGGGGTCCTGCAGCACTTGTAATAATTAGAGCCTACACAAGGAGGCAATGGGTGTCCTGTGGCACCAGTAATAATGAGGGCCTTCTTAAGTCCTTCAAGATAATCAGCCTGGGGTCAAGTTTGTAATTTTCATGCTTAGGAGTACAAGCAATAAATATCACAGGACAACCTGTCTGTTGAGAGAAAACTCTCTCTTTCTTTTAACTTTCATTGTGATTGTTCCTTTGTTATTAGTCTTTTATTGGGTATTACTGAACAAAGCCAGGCACTGTCTGCTGCTGTGGATGCAAACACAGAGGAGAAGGGTCTTCTCTCCAGATTGCTTGTCAAGACAAAGAAAGCACAAGCTAATGCTTCTGATCTTCAAAGGTATCAACTGAAAAACTCAGATTACTATATTGTACACTAAAATATTATGTTACTGCCAAAAGGCGGGTCTTTTTGTGGCCGCTTAGAGCAATGATTACAAACGCTCGATCGGAGGGAGAGGTATGAACTAATGAAGAACCAACAAAAATACAAGCTTACAAAATGTAGAAATATAAAACTGAAAGGCGGTTAAAGCGAACGCGATGAACATAATAACTAGGAACTTACATTGTATCGGCGCTGTAGGCCGCGAAAAAGGCAACTCTAAACTAGATGTTGTCTTGGTGAAATCAATGATGAAACTAAAAAGCTAGAATATTAACAACATGTAAACTATACCGAACGCGGGAAAGAAAAACACAACATATTTTCGAGGGAATGCTAATGAACTGAAATAAAATGCAGAGAAGGCTAAATTCTACATATTACATAACCCTTTTAATCCCAAGATCAAAATGTTTATTCACTGCACTGTTCTCTATACACTGCTTAACATATTTTTGGCTTTAAGAATTTGGGTTCAAATCAAACAGCATCCCCAAATCCATGTTTTCTGTTCTTCTCATCACCTTTCTACTTAAAAATTTTTTTAATGTGGTAGGGAGAAATTTCTTTGTGGTCACTCCTGAGAGTGAAAGGGTTAATTAAAATTGTTATGAATTGTGATATACAGATAACACCAACAATAACAACAACTACAACAACCACACAGCATGATTGGAATCTATTCTGGAGATACTGCAAGTCTTGGTAGCTTGCTGGCTTTTCACTGTTGGAGCTTATTGAGTTTTCTGTTTTCTGATGAGTATTGGTACTCCTTGTGCAGGGGATATCAATCAAGGCAGCTATCCTCCCAGGCATTTCATCAGCTTAACCTACAAATCTGCTGGTACTTGTTTATACTACAGGGTGGAGAAAGGCATTGTAAGGAGTAAAATGTCTTACTTGAAAACATGACATTGTGACCCATCTACCGGTACAACTTGGGGGTGGCTACCATATCTCCCATTTTGAGATAAAAAAGGAGCTGTTAGAGTAAGGTCTGTAATAAAACAAAGATATAGTTTGCTTCAAGAGTTGCATTCTTCCAGGTCTCTTGATGGTCTTCAGGATCAAATGGCATTACAGACTCCTCAGCTGAAGAAAAATGCACAAGAAACTGACTTTGTTAAACTCAAGTGTAAAGAATATGAGAAAAGCAACAGGGAACTTGAGGTACAAGACTTAGTTAAACTAAAAACTATGTATCCATAATTCTCAGTACCTATAGAAACATTTCCGTTGATTAATTGAATAATGAGGTGTTTATCATCAGAATCACCTTGTGCAAAATTGACCTCTCTGATTATAAGAAATGAGCCATGATTCCATCATTAAATGTCTTTGTCATCTTTGCCTGCATTGTTCCTAAGCAGGGATTGGCACTGCAGTTGAATTAAAATGGAATCAAATTTTCATTTCCAATAATTTTCTAATTGTTCTGTGAGCAAGTGATGCATTTAACCGTGACGACACATTTGTATGATTTAATTTTTTTAATTCACATTTTAATCAAAAGTGATTGATGGATGAACTGCTGTATTTCTTGCCCAGTGATTCTTTAGTCATAATTGGATATGTTATTATATCCCTCGATCCCTCAATTATGCTGATTACACTTCAATGAATCCACCAACCACCCAATTGATCACAATAACCTTTCATAAAGAGAGCTAGCCATCAAATGATCCAAAGCTGGAGATTTCTCAAAATAGGAAATACTAAGTAAAACAAAATGTCTGTATTAGAGATGTTTCTTCAGTTTTCACTTATATTATTGCCACAGTTATTTGCATATAAAAATTGGCATTGCATTAAAAAAAATCTTTCTTGGAAATTGTAATTGTTTTAGTCAGTTCATAAAGGAACCTCATGTCATACAATTAATTCTTGCTTGAATATTCTGCCCATATAAAAATTATGTGGCCCCTTCTAATGCAAGATATTGTCAGATGTAATAGAACATACAAACCAGTTACATTGTAGTTTGATTGTTTTAAGCAGGCATAGTTTAATTTGTACATATATATTAAATCTCTTTTTCTACATTTTGTAGGAATATCAAAGTAAAACACAATTAGATTCCTCAATCTACCATGGTTCACTTGTTAAGAAAGCAGAGGTATCAACTGTTATCTTATTCATTGTTCTTGTGTGCTCCAACTAATTAGAATTCACTCCTTCATACTCATCACTTTGGAAATTTATTGTGAAAGGTTTTGTTTTAGAATGCGGAATATCAGAAAGCAATTCTGTCAATTCTTCCACTCAAGAATCAGGCTTTTGAGCCACTCAAGAGCCCGCCAACAGTGAACACAGATCCGTTGACCATCGCCTCTCTGAGACGAGGATGCCATACAATTCTGTCAATCCAAATTTAGATATATTTTTGAGATGATGATGATGGCATTGATACTGAAAATTACTATGTAAACACAGAAAGTGTCAACAAAACCCAATCACCATCTATGCTATAATAATCAGCAAAGGTGATATGGGGGAAACTAGTTTTGTTCCCCTTAATTTCAACTTGCTTAACCTGCACCACTGATACAACTCTAACTATCCTTGATCTTTTTGCAATAATTATATCACTGGTCAAATGAGGGAAATTTAGTGATAGATTCTTTCAGTTAAAAAGGCAATAATTCAAAGAAGCAATGTCAGCCTTTTGGCATCTAGAAGAAAATGGCATAAGTGTTAAATTTTTAACTTGGTTAATTTTTTTTTACTCAAAAATAGATGCAGTAGAGAATGTCAAGTGACTTACAATTTTATTCTTTCAACTTTCAGGAGGTGAGACTAATTAAAGCAAAGATGAAACCACTCAAAGACAAGTTAGAGGGTTACCATAGCCTACCACCTGTAAGTGGAACTTCTTTACAACTCTTGTAAGGCAGAAGTTCATGTGTTACCTTTGGGTTATCAATGAGACTTTGGTGCTTTGGAATTTTAATTTCAAACTACACTATTCCACATTCTTTGATTTGAAGATTTTGTTAATAAACAGGAGATAAAAAATAAAATATGAAATAAAAATAGGTGGTGTTAGAGATGAATTTCACCTTCTTGTACTGGAAGCACTGGAAGTACCTGGGGGTAAAATTGTACTACTAATTTCAGCCACCTTGCACAACTAGGCGTTTTAGTTTATGTTTAAAGTTATCTACCACTTTTACTTATTAGTTCACACTGAAGAATTGACTTGTATTTTTATCATGCTTCTTTGTGTTTTTTTTTTCAAGGATATTTCTCAAGCCAAGGTGAAAGTTGAAGAAGCAAAAGGGCAATTGGTATGTTTCCTAAATGATACATTGAGTAGTGCTCAGTCATACATTGAAGATTGTTTGACATAATGTCTCTTTGTCACCATATTCGTATTATTGATATTTCTGTCACCCATACCATGTTTCTATTATTCAAGATTCTTTCCTCAATTGGTTGTCAGCAGAGATAGGTTGGTCTGGCACAAAACATTGACATTTGTTGCCAAAGGTCTTGAGAAACAAACGGATTTTCTCCTGTGGTTACATGATGTGATTTAAAATTTTCACTTTGCACTATGGTTGTAACAGACTACACTTCTTGTTTCATTTTATTTTCTGAAGAATTTCACTTGCAAGAGTTGACTTTGACTTGTTGCTTGACCAGAGGCATGTCACCCGACATGTTTTTTTTTTTTTTTTTTTAACTCTCAATCTCATGGAGGCTACTGCTCACATGATTTTGATGATTGTTCTTATTTAAAAAATCTTTTGTTCTATTCAACAAATTTTTATTGTTCTGATGATGACGTCTCGACATTCTTAGGAAACATTAGAGAAACAGCTATCTGTCAGCATAGACACCCTTCATTTATGATCACTCTTAAGTGTTATCAAATGCAAGATTACTCTGGCACCCTGCAGCACACTAATGAAAAAAGCAATCAGTGAGGACCTGTTGGAACAAAAGTAACTGTGCATATGGATTTACAGCCAGTGTCTGGCTTGTGCTGTTCAATGTCCCATAGAACTTGCCAGGATCAATTTGGCTGAGTGTGGATGTGTAGAAAGCAGCCTTGGCAAGATGGTAACTGAAGGCACAACAACATCATTTCAAATTGGCATCCAGCAAGAAAACAATTTATCATAATTATGTAGTAATCCTTGAGAGTCAGGAAAACTGCAAGACGATATCTTCTGCAAATTTTATAGATTTGTTCAGAATAAAAGTTTATTATAACACAAATACAAGTTAAGGACTCCGAGGTACATTTTCAAAAGCCTTAAAACAGCTATGTTTTGGACTAAAATGCTGCCTGTCACAACAAGAAACATGTTATAAACTATTTTAAAAAAATTTATCATCTTATGTATGATTAAACACTGATGAAATGTCTTCAAGTAAAGTAGAACACTATAATTAGAAAAATGTAAGAAGAAAAAAAGTATTCAGATTTTTAAAATAATGTAAATAACAATCATTTCAAATGATGCTTTACCCAGAAATTTTGTGCAGAAAAAGTGAAGTTTCTTATTTTCAGATCTAGTTCAATAGCTTTGGCTTACTGAGTAAACATATCTACAAACAAAACTATTCAACAGGTCTGGTCATGTTACAGATTATTTAAGCAATTTTACACTTCTGTAAAGTAAGGATTTAAGTCTCCTATTCATCATCTAGCTGATACAAATATGTTAGAATGATTTTCATTAAACTTGGAAAAGTGATTTTATGTCAGTGAAGTTGATAATAACATCAAGTTACGAAAACAAAATCCTGTATACTATGGACAGAAAAGTCAGATTGAGGAAATTGTAAGTTTTCAGCAAATTTGTACTGTGTGCTTGAATAAACCCACAAAACTCCTTGCCATGTTTAAAGCAAAGAGTATTGAAAATAAACAATTGACAATTAAATAACTTCAATGGAATTTGGTTACAGCAAAGGCAATCTGAAATATAATTCAATAAAATTAAAAACTTTCATGTATTAGCAGAAAGATCTTTAAAAAAACTTATATGGCAAGCAAGAGCCTTATTAGAAAGCCAAAGGCATAAAATTGGCCCTGGTTGTTCAGAGGGTTGATAACGTAAACTACAATAAGATTAAAACAGAAAGGCAACAATCATCCCTGAATTGATCATGCCCATCAGCTTGCACCTAGGTGACTGGGTGTCTCTCTTTACAGGTTGTGTCTAATTTTAAATTTGACAGTTCAACTTGGGATTAAAATACAAATGATTTTGGTTTTTGTCTTGAGCCAGTTAGTTTTTTCTCTTTTGCTGATTTTGACTTCTCGTGTGCTTTTCTTGCTTCACTTGTCTGCCACTTTTTTAAACACTGTTTCTCATGAATAGAAATTGAAGCAGATCCATACTCACGGCCACAAAGATAACATACAACCAAGGCTGGTTTACTTGGTTTAAAGCTTTCCTGATCTTGTACCTGGTCTGCTGTGTCAGAATCATAATCTAGTGTAGCCTGCTCTGGGGATAAGAGATCCCCATAACTTCCACTTCTTTTGGATGATGGTGTCTTTTTGTTGTTATTTTCCTCAACATGATCAATTTTAATTGTAACAGGCAAGTGAATAGAGTTCCTTTTCTTAGACTGTAACTCTTTCTTTAACTTTTCAGTAGCATCAACCTTTTTCTGTGCCTCCCATTTCTTCAAACATTGTTTTTCGTGGATTGGTAAGGAGTGGGAAGTAAATTGTTTACCACAAATGTAGCAAAGAACCATCTTTGATACTTGAATGTTGCCTCGGGATGGTCTCCTACTGGTAGTAGCAATGAGATTCTCACATGAAGCAGAGCGTTGTTTCTCTAGTTTCTGATGTGGTAATGACATTGAGGTCATTATAACTTGCTGATCATCAAGGATAGCAATGTCTTGACTTGTAAGGGAAGAAACTGAGTTAGCCTTACTGAGCCCATTTTGACGACCACAAGGGCTGCGAGAACGCTTTGGATTGGCTAGACGCCATTTCTTCAGACACTGAGGCTCATGAATTTTCAAGGACTTAGATCCATATTCACGTCCACAGATGTAACAAACCATCAAATTGGGGTTACTAGAAGAAAAGAATCTTGCTTTGGCCAAAGGTGTCCCTTTCACACTGTCAGTTTCCTGTGAGTCTGATGATAGTGATTCTATTGAGCCTTCCCTCCTAGGTGAATTAGATGTCAGATGCTTTCTATTAAGAGTAACTGTCCCTGGTCTTGAAAAAGGAAAGTCCATCTGTTGCCCGTTTAGTTCAGACACAGTACCTGTCGCCTTGCTACTCTTGTCAACGTCGTCGTCATCTGATGTGGTTTGCTCTGTGGAAGAGTGTGACTGAACTTCTAATTTCCCAAGAGTGTCCTGTTCAGAAGAGGAATCTGAAATATCTCCTAGAGAGGATTCTGGCTTTAACAGTGGTGTTGTAGTGGCTATTGATTTAGAGCGCTCTTGAAGTAATCTTTGCCCATGTTCCCTAATTGTAACAGCATTGAGTCGGGTTTGCGATGCTCTTCTTGATGAAGAACCTCTTATGTCGTCTAAACTCAAACTTTGTTGTCTGTCCATAGTCGGCACGTTGGGTAAGACTCGTCGCTTACGAGACTCGTGCGAAGATTTTCTCATCTGCTGTTGCTTGGCATCCTCTTTTTCTTTCTGTTTCGTCATTTCCCATCTTTTAGCACACTGTCGTTCGTGAACATTGAGGGAGTGTGAACTGAACTCCTTCCCACAAATGTAGCACATCACTGTTTGTGGCTTCGGCATGTTCGACGTGACTGCTCGAGTCAGTTAATCGCTTTTTCGACTGAAAAGAAATATATAGAATTTAAAAAGGTTACCTTATGACCCAACGTGCAGGCCAGGCTGTGAAGTGTTACTTTGAACTTAGTGACATCACTCATAAATATAATTGAGCCTCTCAAATTTCCTGTCGCCGTGTTTGTCTCTCGAAACAATTACAATAAACCGTAATAGACGGAGGAGTGCAGAATAAACATTTCCGTAAGTTCGTCGCATGGTGTATAGGCAGATCGATTTTCTCAATTGAGCCCGTAAATCATGGAAACGGCGAAATTCTAATAATCATATAAACAAGAGTTAAAAAATTCATCTCTCAAAGCCCCGAAATAATTTTAAGTAAGCTTTAATTTCGTAATCAGATATTTCTCAACGAGGGTATATAACAAATATTGAGTCACGAGAGAACATAATGTCCCTGAAAGAAAATCCTTGCATGTCTGCTCATATCATAAACACAAAATATAACTCTCGGCCAGGCAAGGGATTTAAATTTAATAAAAGGGGATGACTCAAAACGGCTACAATTCCCAGCACTCAGACCTCGTCGCTTCTTCAATATAGCAATAAATTTACGAAAGCAAGCCATGGAAAATACCTGTCTTCGGTGCTCTTCGAATGTATTAGTTCATAAGACCTTTTCCTGTTGGGCTTCAAATGCACGGAGAGATGTGGGCTGCAGCATTCTGTGGCCCCGGGTGTTTTACATGGAGGCAGCTGGATTGTCACCTGACTTTATATTTAGAAGAAGTTGGGACGGAAATGGGAAACATTTGCGTCACCAGCTGCAGAAGCATAAGGAGAATGTTCCAATCTCCCCTTTCTTACGTTTTTGTATCCGACCAGCATCAAAGTATAACTGCTTGAACAGAGAAAATGAAAAAGCTCGGTTTCCTAGAAACAAAATTCTTTCCTGGCAGGTGTGGTACTACGGCAACGAAGCTAATAATTTTCTTCATTCATTTTGTGTAAAGACCGCTCAACTGTAAACAAAGTGTGTACCGGAAGTGAGGTTGCACGAAAAGAATCATTGGGTTCCAGGCTTCATGGCTTCCGGTGTGTTCAAGATGGCGGATGTATCAACCACGACAGTGATCACAAAGACGTGTAAATTTTTCCAGAGGGAAAAGTGCAAGTTTGGAAGTGAGTGCCAATTCTTACACCCTGAAAAACCCTTAAATCTACCAGGAAATAATTTAACCGAGGTTGGAAAGCTTCATGATGTCCAAAAGCTTCTTAATCCATCTAATCAGGAGGTAAGCTCAAGTTTGCGAGTGGAAGATTTGAAACCCTGTAGGTTCTTCAAGACCAAGAGAGGATGCGCTTATGGAAATAAATGCCGCTTTTTGCATTCGGATTTAAAGATATTCAACGAAACTGAGGGAATTGGGAAGGTTCCTGAACCCTATGTTACTGATCAGGAGGAAGAGGTTTCCCACTCAAACGATCAAACAGAGGGTGAAGAGAAGGGTACAGATAACCATAAAGAGTCTTCAGATAGACGAAGAGTTGTGTGTAAATTCTTTAAAAAAAAGAAGGGATGCTTAAGAGGCAACAGGTGTCCATTCGCACACGTGACTACTTCTAGTGACAAAACCGAAATGAAGCCTCCAGCGGGAAAAGGGTCTAAAAAAGCAGGCAATCTGTCAAATAACAAGAGACCTCAACTGAGCGAGGCCGCATCTAAACCCTCTATTTCTACCAAGCAGTTTACTGGACAGCCAGCAGATTCACGTAGTGCACAGTCAGATAATCAAAATGAAGTTATCAGGAATAACAAAAAAGCCCAAATCCCATCGCCACCTGGCAAAAAATCCATAGCCGAAGACAAGGGGAAGGTTGTCAATGAACAACCACCTGATGAATGTATGAGACTGAGATCAATTGAGATACAGCAACTTAAAAGACGATTCAAAGACAATTACTATGAAATCACAGAAAATAGCTGTTACAAGATTAAATTTAAACCAACAGATCCAGACTGGGTAAGTCAAATATGTTCTGTCTCATAATTTGAAAGTAGAGACACTGTGCATAAAAAAAAAAACTGTATGTGGAAGAAAGATATCCACTCATGGGAGGACAAAATGAAAGGATTTGTAGGCAGATGCTGTGTGCTGGAGTCTGCTTACATGAATTTTTGGATCAATGACAGTACAGTATCAGAGCAATTGCACACCTACCCCTCCCCTAACTTGTTATCAGTTGACTGTTTTTTGGGTAGGGGAGGAGTAGGTAGGCAGTTCCTCAGATACTGACAGTGATTTGAATTTCCTTCCTTCTTATTAAATACTAATTGTTGTTTTACTATAGGAATCAAATATCTTAATAAAATCAGATACTTTTCAGAAGATACAGATATGTTTCAGAAGACTAAAATAGTCAGATTCATTCATGTTTTCCTAAACAAGCAATGGTTTGTAAAACATAATCAGTAGCCAGGTACATAAAGTATCAGTAGACACATAAGATAAAATTTTTGTGCTATAATTATTTCAGCCACAAAAGGCTAATTTTAAAGAACCGTTCTGGAAAATCTAGTAGCCTGATAAAAGGTCATTAGAAGTGAAGCTTTGGTATTTGATTCAAGAATTTAAAGAAAAGATTTTAAATTTGGTATGTGGCAAGTCCTGTTTTTTGTTTTACAGGCTTTTAAGATTGAAGCAGTATACCTTGATGTATCCTTTCCAGAGGATTATCCTTTACATGTGAGTTCAGCATAGGATAAAAGTTGGGGCTGCTGGATGGTGAAGTTAATTTCACCGTTAAGGGAATCGTTTTAATTTTATGTTATTGTGTGCAGTGTACTAAGGAGACTTAAACAATACTATGTGGCCACTCAGAATGTATTGCTCTGAATTAATTACAATCAATCATCATTGTTTTAAAATCATGAGGCAATTTTAGCAAGTGTAAGGTGAAGGGAGAAAAAGATAGAACAGTGTGGATGTATCAGAGCATGGACAGAAATATAAGCTGACATCCCAGACAAGGAGTTATGAGGGCATTTTGTAATTATAATTAAAACCTTTTCACAACTGAGCAGTTGCACCAGCTTTGCATGAGATCCATTCTTAGGCTCTGTGTCCTTATTACTAAATCTCTCTTCAACTAGCACCTCTTACCCAGTAGCTTCAGGAAAGTGCTATGATAGTGCATGTTTTTTAATTACTGAGTATTTTTACTGTTTAGATTTTTGCAGCATCCCTATCCAAGGAACAAGTTCTTTCTCAAGATATTATCAAGTATACTATTATGAATATTCAAATTGTGCTGTTTTACTGAGAAAGCTATATATCACCTTTTTATGATATGATGTTGCTAGGCTGTGTCTTGTGGTTTGGCATTAGATTATAACATTTTTGGCTCCACTTCTTTGATGAATAAGAGTTTTGACAAGAGAAACTTTTCAATTGATTCTGGGGAAGGACTATTTATACTGAATTTAGTGCTATTAACCCTGTACACCCTAACATCAATATATATATTCTCCATACTGTTCTCAATACATTTCCTAAGGTGCTGACAAGAAGAATTTGTTTAATAACCAAGAATGTCTTTAGTTGGTGATCATTTCCTCTATTCTTGTAAGCTTTATGTCTGATTCGATTTGGGAGGATAATGTAAAGAGAAATTAGATGTTAGTCCCTCTTAGGGGTCAATGGATTAACAAGTATGGTGTATGTTACAGAATACTGCAGTGTTGCTCTCCCCTTTTACCAGCCATAACCTACTTTAATTTGGATCTTTGTGCTTAAGATTATGTTTTGTGCCCATCGTGGTACTTCTAACTTAAGGTGTCTGTTTTTGCAAGGTTTGTAACTCAAAAAATTCAACAATGGGCTGTGAAGCAAGAGCAAGCAAGTATAGATCAAGGAATTTTAAAGCTATACTTCAGACCATTTCTCCATTGGTTTGACAGGAACCTAGAATCTTTCATTGTGGATGGAGGAAGGCAGGTATATCTCATTTATACAAAGATAAAACTAAAATCCGGTGTGCATATCCTTCACATGAATGTTCCTGAAAAAAAAAAAATACAATTTACATCAAGCTAGTAGATTGTTTGATCTATTGTTCATTTCAAACAGCTCCTAGAATTTTAATTAATGCATTTACTTGTTCAGCTGTTTAACAATGGTTGTTGAAAAAAAAAGTATAAAAGGGCATGAAAATCCCAAAAGGTGTTGTGGATAGTTTTCAGGTCACAGCTCCTTAACTTCAGGATTTCAGAGAAATCTGAGCAAATGTTACTGAAAGGAGAAGGTATCGTTGGTTTGATGAATTTATTGACTTATTCATATTGATTGCCAGATACTCAGATTATTGTCATTATCATTATTATCATTATCTTCGAACGGTTTGAGAATCAATTGGAGCTGAAGACGAGTCATCGAATTCACAGATACACAATGCAATGAATGCTTGCTTTTGTTTACTTTTATTCCAATTAACATAGCTTATAAAGAAAAGGGAATTTAACATATTAGCACGTGATAACATTGGCATGTTACATTGCGACTACGCATATTTAAAAAGCATAACACATTGTATGCAAATTCAGTAAAGCATACACACTCATGCAGTTTGTTAGGCAGAAAACCTGAATAAAGAGTCTCTGGCAACGTGCTACAACCTTTCAAGGTTGTTGCATGCACTTTTGTCCTTTTTTCCAACAACCTTTCTCGAAACAGTTGTAACAAGACATTTGAAAAGTCTGCTTGGAAGGAAGTAAAAACAAGCTTACATTTCTCTAGCATAGGTGATGAGCTTTAAATGCCTCAAGCATTCAAGAGCACTTTCAAAAGGGTGAACTATGCATTATTTGGCAGACAAATGGTGATGGGAGAGTAACATGTTGAATTGACCCATGCATCATTATTCCTTTGCCTCCAGTGATTTTTGATAAAAGGGCCTCTCAGGCAAAACACTAGTCAAGCAAATTATGATTGAGAAGTTAACAAAGATTAAAGCTGGAACTCTCTGGGATGGATGGTATCTGTTTCAACTTGGCCCACTGCTGAACCATCATAAGTTTAACGTGAATTTCAACTGTTATCATGTAATGAACTGTTATCATGTGATGAAAACAGTGAACTGTTTTGGCAAATTTTATTTATCTTTCAAGGTATACATTTTAGTTTTAACCTTTGCTGTTCATGAATCTTTGAAATGGAAATGTCGCCTTCCTCAATTCAGAAAGCAGAGCAATAACAATATTAGAACTTACCCAATTACTGAATCAAGCACTTTTTTGTAATCAGAGATATATTAATAGTCATGGTCAACTATGGCTATCAAAACCAGCAAGTGTTCATTCATTTACACTGACTCTAACCTATATGATGCGGTTTTTAATTCTGTACAGGTGAAAGGAGGCTTTTATTCAAGCAGCACAATAGAGTGCGAAGTAGCTGACAATCCTTCTCAAGACAATATCTGTATATTAGCAACTGCATCAACACCACACTCAGGGTTCACATTAGAAAGTGTTCCTGTGCTTGAAGAAAGCAATGACAATCATCCAATCAGTGGAGATAGAGTTCACTTCAACAGAACTAAAAGTCATGAGCCTTCTGAGAGTCTTAATATGGTTGAAATAGAGAAAGATGATATAAAGCAGGCCTTATTGTGTCACCAAATTGAAGCTAAAAAGCCTAGTGGACATGAAGGAGAAAATTGTACCATTAGACCTTGCGACTCTAATATTGGTACTGGAATAATATTAATGGTGGAAAGCAAGACAGTGAAGGCAACTGTTGACATGGACAATAAATATCTACCTGCAAGCATTGAAGATATTAACTGTGGACAAGGTATTTCAAACAATGAAACTGATCATGCCAATCAGGCAGGAATTACTGATGATATTGCCTTGGCTGTCAGGAGAGGAACAGAAATTCAGTTTAGAGGACTTCATTTAGAAGAGAATGTGAGCACCTTGATTGGAAATAGGATAGTTTTCACTTTAGAGTGCAACAGGTGCAGGCAGAGGATTGATCAACAGTTGTCTGGATCAGGGTATGTATTTAGTTAAAGTACATGCACTTGTACATGAATGGAATGAAAGGACTATTTAATGAACTGCATCTACAAAAGGTCCATCTTTTTTTTGCTGGACTGGGCACAGGCATCCCAAGCTGACATCTCAAGAAAAAGCAATAGACTAATTTGCAAAAGTGTCAATGGGTGATGTAGTGTTCAGTTATGCAATGAACTGTTGAGAATTTGAATGCATTATTATAAGAAGAAATAGTATGGGAATGAAACATGGTTGATTAACAGCACTAAGTATTCCAAAATGTAAACATTTTACAGTCATGTAACATTAACAAAATTTACTCACTCCTTGTGTGTCAGTTAGGTTTCTGGCAATCTCTGCTGTTTTGGGCTTGCTTTGCTATCACCGTTATTCCTGTTATAAGACAGACTCTTTCTTTAAACAGGGATGCCTGTGGACTGGGTAGCACAATGCATGCAGTGCATAGAGGATGGTGTCAAAGTTCTCAGCTTTCACCTCTAAACTAATATGTTGCCATCTTGCTTGGTAATTCCCTTGTGATTAGAAATTTGAAATTATAATTGTATTATAACTCCTTCCTATTACAGATCTGTTTGTAGGCAGTGTACCAGATGTGCTTCAGTCTTTGCTGTTACCTACAGACCAGTTGTTATTCATCAGTTTTCCTCAATTCTAGGATATTTAGACTTGGATGGGTGAGTGAAGAGATCATTCAAATTGAACTGTGTAATAAAAATAATTCTAATTTCATATTCAAACAGTATACTGCTCTCCAAAGCAGAACAAAAACTTTACTGCACTGGAATAAAAATCCTTTTACTTGTGAAATGAGAATCGTGAACTTCAAGGTGATATGTTCAGGGTTAATGCCACAAGCTCTTTTATCATTTCAGTTATTTAATATCAGTTTTATTTTTTTAGCTGCTAAGTGCTAGTTTGCTTGCTTGCTCATAAATATTGATTTTTATGTCTTGGGAAGAAGTATCTAGAAATATGTTGGAACACAACTGGACTTTTTCTGCACCCATTTATTTTTTGCCTATTGTTGTTTTGAGATCTTGAATATTATCAATCTTATACCTGTCGCATTTATCACATACAGCTGTGTTCCATTTGATGTGGTTCTAGCAGAAAGTGAATTGAAGATAGGTTGTTTACACTGTTCTAAAGAAACAGCAGTGAAGGTTGGTGTAGTGATGGTTGAAACAGCCAGCAATTGGTGTCTTGATATTAACCTACTGAGACATTTTAGATCTAAAACTGTTGTAAATGTTATAGTTGTCCTAATTGTCTTTAACCCAGATCAATGATAACAATACTTATGCAAAGAAATAACTTTCACCTAAGGAAATGAATCATTCACAAAGGTCACCCAGCTAAAGGAAAGATACTCACAACAAAGCTGTGATTAAAGAAATTGGAGTGAACAAAGGTCAATGATGGCCCGAAATGTTGCTGTTACAAAGAGAGTGTATGTTAATTCTGACTGTACAGCAAGGACAACTCCTTGAACAAGAATGTCTCACAAATAGGAAAGATACTGACTGCAACATCAAACCTATCATATTATTATGTAGGGGCTGCAGTATGGAGCCAACTGGAGCTGGTGTAGGCATTGCCATTTAAAGCTTGAATTCCACATACCGTCAACTCGCTTTCATGAATTACAGAATGATGCAACACAAGCAGGTTGTAAAAGAAAGAATTTCTATAGCATCTTACTCAGTAGTCTGTACACATGCTTATTATTCAGGAATTTGTACACATAAAATATGTTCAATAGGGCTAACCCAATGAACCCTTCTCCTCAGTAAGCCATCCTCTCAAATAAGTATTTACTTGGTGGGGGACAGATGACTGAACATCATCATTTTGTGAACCGTTTGCTTCTTACCTAGATGTAATGAAAAAGATTGAAGAATCATTTGATACTGAATGTACATTTCATAATACATTTCTTCAGCCTCCCTTAAAAAAACCAAAGATTCAAGTACTTCTTCCAAGCCTAAGAGGCCAGCTCAAAGCTCAGGAATAAAGGAAGGTCAGCCATTACCAGGTAACGGAACCTGTAAACACTACAAGAAGAGTTACAGGTGGCTCAGGTAATGTCATGAGGTTCATAACTTATGGTGTTAAAAAAAAGATAACTGAATTATAGTACGTAAGCCCCGAGAACTTGTCTTTTTCAAATTGTTTTCCATTGCAGAAGTAAATTGTTTGATTTGGGTAAGACATTAAAACTGTTTTGAACTCACAAAACATAACAGATTATTTCTTGGTAGGGAATTATATTGCCGCTGAAGATCTTGATTGTAGTTACAGTATATGTTCAATTTTCACTGAAGTTAGACACTAGATGAAATATTTATCTCCTGCGAGGATTTAAATCGATGACCTCCCTAAAACTGATAGAATTATGTATTACTAGGTGCAGGAGCCTCTCGCCAAATTATTTGACTGTACATTCCTGTGAGTCGCTTTAACAAACATTTTGTACTCTTTTCTAGGTTCCCTTGTTGTGGAAAATGTTATCCATGTGATTTATGCCACGAGGTACAAGAAAGTCATGAAATGAAATATGCCACGCGGATGGTTTGTGGCTTCTGTTCCAAAGAGCAAGTGAGTGTTTCTACAGTAAGAGTATGTGCAATGGATTCTTAACATGTTTGGAGTGGAATTAGGTCTGATCCACCAAGTTTACGCTGTTCACTTGCTTTCTTCATTATCCCGATGTTGCCGCTGTTCTCTTCTTTTTCTTCTTCTTTTTTTTTTTTTTTCGTTTCTTTGGGAAAGAATTGGTGTAATGTTCACCATCGAAGAAAAGGGGCGCATCCATTTATGTTTTGGCCCTGAAATAATTGAGGTATTCATAGATTTAGAAGGACCGAGCAATATGCAAGAATTCCTATAGCCTAGATAAACCAACTCTGAAGACAGTTTGCACTAGCCATGCACTCGCTGGCATAGGCATGATATTTTCATGATCTGGTTTAATCACGCGAGGTTTGACTGACGAAGTGATTATCACTCGAGACCTCAAATTAATTGCCTTTGCAAGTAAAAATAATGGAACTGACTTTAAAAGAAATGTGAAAGCAGCTGCGACTGAGAGAGGATCGACATAAATTATGTTATATAAATGTTTTAAGCGAGTTTTACTCATTTCTTTCAGCCATACTCTCAGCGTCCTTGTAATGGCTGTAAATCGTCCGTGACCAAGTCACGCTCTTCCCACTGGGAAGGGGGAAAAGGATGTCGTGACAAGCTCACTATGAGTAGGTAGGGTGTCTGCGTATGTTGTCGAGAATGTCTTACTTATCTAGTGAGTGGAAGAGACATACTTGTGGTCTATGTCATAGTCTTTTTACCCTCTCTTTTTTTAAATTTAGAAACGACGACCAAAAATACAGTCAGCAGGGAAAAACAGCGTCACGAAAGGCACAGAGGCGGTCCGAGACGAAAGGAAAAGGAAAGGGAAGCAAGGGGAAGTAACTCTCCTTGAGCCGTGTCGAAGAAGTGTGGGGGCTTTATTACGTCCACACTTTTTTACTTCTACCATCCACACAGAGGCTTTGTAAAAGCCGGATATAAAACTTAAGAATGCACCTTGAAGTCAATAGGTTCGGCTTCGAACATGTTTCAAGCTGAGAGAAATCTTATTTGGAAAACTTGTAATTCTGTTCACCGTTTATTATGCAATCAACCACTTTCGAATAAAGTATACATGAACACATGTTCCTTGAGAAGCCATGCTTTCGGCACAAATGGATAAACGTCGGCGCTTATAGTTTCTTCATTTCGTGTGAAAAGACGGAACTTATTCGCAAACTGTTCCGAAAAGTCGGAACTTTTTCGTAAACTGATGGTAGCTCTGAATAAAGGGGGTAAGTTTCTAAAGAAATTACCTCGGAGGGGGTATAACAAAATTATTTAGTAAAGTGTTTCTAAAGTCCTTCGTCCGAACGAATGGTAGCTCTGGCCGTTTCATGTGGACCACTTGTCGAGTAACTGATCATGACGAACGTAAGTTACTTAACCAATAGACGAGTTAGCATTAGAACATGCCCTTTCGCGCTATTTTCCTCACAGTCGAATCGTTGTACTAGAATGTATTCTTCCCCTCACAGTGGGTATGAAATGCGTTGCGTCGCGGGGGTAGCTATCTTTGTCAGATGAGTCGCTCATTTTAAATCTGACGTTTCGAGCGTTAGCCCTTCGTCAGAGCTCTGAACAACTCTTAGCTGAGGCGGATCAAGTGGTGGTTCGAGTGGTTTGGTCGAACCCCCTAAAATGCTGGAAATCATGTTTCCGAAGGCCCAATTTTCAAAATCTCCCCGGGGAGCATGCCCTCGGAATATTCTCCGAACCCCCCTTGACTAAAATCCTCGATCCGCCCCAGTCTAAGGGCATTTTCGGAGTTGAAACTGTAGGCATTCGGTTTAAAAAAAAAGTTAGGATTAGTTTACATCCCAATTTAGTAGGTTAAAAAGTCCGATACTGGCACAAAGTAAGCTACTTCTCCAGAGGAGCCTATCAGGCCATCTCCCTCTGACTGGTAAAGCGTTCATATTGGGTCCATATCACCTCCCAATAATAATAATAATAATAATA